GGTTTCGAACTCCTGCCTTGAGCAATCCTCCCGCCTTGGCCTCCCAGAGTGCTAGGATTACAGGTGTGAGCCACCATGCCTGGCCCTATCTGGCTTTTATACTGGCAGAATAGGGGTGCTATTTGGGGAGTTAGTAGGGTGAGGTAAGCCTTGGGAGGAAAGACGAGTACTGGTAAGTTTCAATCCTTGAAGGCTCTTGTAAAGGAATTGGGTATTGGGCTTGGCGAGGAAACTGGGAAGGGTCTTTTAAATGTATCTGGATGGGGGAGTGGTGAGTGGCTATTGAGGGAGTTGAAATATCCCAGACTTTGGGGTTGACTTTAGATTCAGAAAAAGGTATAGGAGATGGAGGAGAATTTGTGAGAAGAAGGGCAGTGTTTTTCTATGGCCCATGATCGACAGGTAGATAAATAGTAACATGTAATTTTGAGAGAATATATATTCCTCGTAGTGGGGTTGGGCATTGAGGGAGAACTGGAAATGAATGAGTGAAGATGTTTGTGCCTAGATGGCAGGTCACAGGCAGGTTTATTAGAGGATGGGTGACAAGACCGTCAACTCCCCAAACAGAGAGTGAGGAGAGTCGTGTAGGTCCGTGGAATTCTGGCCAGGCTGAGAATGTTGTCCCCATGTCTATGAGAAAAGAAACTGGTTTACCTGCCACTCACAGAGTTACCTGGGGATCCAATGTGGTGATCGGCTTGGGGGCTGTCGGTCCCGGCAACAAGGGGCCCCCGCAACCGGCCCAAGAAGGTCCGGAAGGCCAAAACAAGAACGGCCCGGTTGTTGTGAGGAAGGGATATGGCTCTGTCGTGAGGGACTAAGCTGCTATCACCTTCCAGTGGTCCCTCATTCTACAGAGGGGACAAGGTCCTGGGGGTAGCTGAGGATTAGGACATTGTCTTGCCCAGTGGCCTGTTTTGTTTATGTTTAAAACACTGGCCTGGTGGCGTCACTTTCCCCTTTCCTCAGTCTGACTGAGGACATTCTGGGGGTCTGTTGATGGTGGCTGCCAGCATCTGATACTTAGCCCGGTCCCTCTTTTGTTTCTGAAGTTGTTGCTCCTCATCCCTATTATTAAATACCTTAAAGGTGGTTCCTAGCAGATCTCTTTCTGGGGTTTGAAGACCATCCCCTAATTTTTTAAGTTTGCATCTAATGTCGGGTGCGAGATAAAATGCATATTGAGAAGTAAAATTCTCTTGGGGATAGCAGGGGTAGGGTTGTCTATTTTTGTAAGGCATCGGTAAGCACGGACAGGAAGAGAGCTGCATTTTCATCCCGTCCCTGTGTGATTTCTTTTAGTTTTTCATAATTGACTGCCTTTTCCAGGCCCGCTAACGGACATGTGATCCTATGATCTCTCTTAGCCCGTCCTTCTGTCCCCTCTTGGGTTCCTATTTGATAATCCCATAACGGGTCTGTCCTGGGAACGGCAGTTGTCCCCACTGGTTGGGTGGGGGTGCGGCTATGGATTTCGTCGCCATGTGCCTGGGCATTGAGCCAGACTCTCTCCTCGGGAGATGAAGCAGAGGAAAGAATTATGTAGAGATTATGCCAGGTAAGGACATATGATAGAGTCAGATATCCAAATTATTTGATAAAAGCATGAGGATCGGTTGAGAAGGAACCTAGTCTTTTCTTTACCTGGGAGAGATGGGAGCGGGAGAAGGGAACATGCACCCACACGAAGCCTTCCGCCCCAGCCGTGCCCCTGCGTGGGTATAAGCCTCGTGCGGTGGAATCCGCAGGCCCCAAGATTTGGGCAGAATGGGAGCGCGTAGTAGGAGGACTAGGGAGAGGGCGCGGGGTGGGTTCAGGTGGCGGTGGAGGAGTTCTATGTGGGGCAGGGCTGAGATCTGAGGGATCAGGATCTGGCGTTTCCGGTGGTTCAGGGGCTGAGGGAGGAAGCTGGGAAGGGGTCTAGTGTGTAGTAGAAAGATTTGTGCCAGATTGCAATTCTGCCAGAGAGACGGTTGTGAGTGGAGAGCAAAGAAGGCTTGGACAGAAGGGATTTCGGAGCATTTGCTATTGCAGTGACAAAAATTATCCAGATCTTGGAGCATGTTAAAGTCAAAGTTCCATTTTCAGGCCACTGAGAGTTACTGTCTAACTTATACTGTGGCCAAGCTGTATGACAGTAAAAGATAAGTCCTGGCTTAATTTGGCTTAATTGGCTTAATTTCATCAGTGAGACCTAGTGCTTTGAGACTTCAGAGAAGTTTTAGGAGGAGTAGGCTGAGAGTTTCCCATGTTCCTGGAAAGAGTAGCAGCCCTGGGGCTGAATCTACGCAATTCTAGGGGGCCCTAGAACAAGGGAATGGCATGGGAGGAAGGAGCAAGCGATTAGCACTAGACGAGTAGGAACAGGCGTCCCTGCGTACAACCAGGGCCCTAGGGGCTGAGGGTCCCCCGGCTAACTGGCAGGACTTTTCAAGGCGAGACAAGTAAATGAGACATTAGAAAGAGGGAATTGGGAAATGAGCTTGTGAGCTCCCTACTCACCAGGAAGACTACATTTCAGGGTGTAGACTTTGGAGGTCAGCAAAGAAGATTCCAGTCATGGTCCAATATCTGCCTCTCAGCTTGGTTCAGGAGGGTCCAGGTGGACAGTTACCTTACCTCGGCCGAGCTAGAGTGCTGCCTACACTCCAGGATCAGAGACAAGTTAGAGAGAGGCCCCTGCACGGCTCAGGAAAGATCTGTGGGAACCTTACGAGGACCCAGGGACTCAGAGGGAGGCAGGATTTAGGAGTAAACCCGGAGAGAGCTGCCACTGCCTACTGCTTCCCAAGTTGCAAGCCTTGCCTGCTAGAGTCCTGGAGGTCATGTCCACCCGGCGTGCCCTCCTGGGTTTTGGCACCAAATGTGAGGTCCAGAGCTGAGAGAGAGACACACACGAAGCCCCATGTGTAGCAAAATGCTGTTTATTTTGAGCATCTGGGTGCAGACAGGTGGAGGCTGAAAAAGGCGTCCATAAAAGAAAAGGGGGAGAGTCTTGGGTTTTATAGAGAGTTTTTCTGGGAGGAGTAAATAAATTCTTTTCAAACAACCAGGAGGGATAAGGAAAGTAAGTGTCCCTCTTGCTTTTCATGCCCTTATCTCCCTAGCAGTCTGGCAAAGGTTACATGTTTAATACACCCCTAGGAAGGGGAGAGGTGTGGGTTTTATAGGAGGTTTGGATGGAAGTTTGGGGAGGCAGAATTCTTTAAGCCTAGCAGACTTTGTCTTTGGGATCTGTACTGAGTTGAATACTGCGCCCCCAAAACTTCACTCGTTCACTTGGAACTTGTAAATGTGGCCTTATTTGGAAATAGGGTCTTTGTCAATGTAATTAGATAAATTTAAATGAGGTCATACTAGATTAGGGTGGGCCCAAATCCAGTGAATAGTGTCCTTAAAAGAAGACACAAGGCTGGGCGTGAGGCAGGAGGATCATTTGAGCTCAGGAGTTCGAGACCAGCCTAAGCAAGAGCGAGACCCCCATCTCTACTAAAAATAGAAAGAAATTAATTGGCCAACTAAAAAAGATATATAGAAAAAATTAGTCAGGCATGGTGGCACGTGCCTGTAGTCCCAGCTACTTGGGAGGCTGAGGCAGAAGGATCGCTTGAGCCCAGGAATTTGAGGTTGCTGTGAGCTAGACTGATGCCATGGCACTCACTCTAGCCTGGGCAACAGAGCAAGACTCTATCTCAAAAAAAAGAGAAGACACCAAGAGACACAGGGGTTTAAAGTCCACGTGAAGACAGAGGCAGAGATGGCAGTTATGTTGCCACGAGCCAAGGAACACCAGGGACCACAGAAGTGGAAAGAGTCAAGGATCCAAAAAAAAAAAGAGTCAAGGATCCTCCTCTTGAACTTTTAGGGGAGCATGGCCCTACTGACACCTTGATTTGGGGCTTCTAGCCTCCAGAATTGTGAGGGAATAAATCCCTGTTGTTAAAGTCATCCTGTTTGTGGGAATTTGTTAGAGGAAATTAATACAGGGGCATGAAATGAAATACGTTGAGAATTCAGTGATGAGTTAAGGTTGCAGTGATCTGATGTTGCAGAAAACTAATATCTCTAATGAGAGATAGCCAAGCAGAATCTGACTGAACTAGGCCAGGAGGTTAGTGGCTGAGAGGGCAGGCTTTGGGGTCCAACAAGAACTAGTTTGGAAACTACAGCTCAGGTGCTCATTTGCAGTGTGACCTCAGGCAAGTGACTTTGCCTCTTTGAGGTTTCTTCATCCATAAAATGGACATAACCAAGACCCTCTTCATCGGGTTATTGTGCAGACTAAGTGAAATAAGGCATTTAAAAGTATTTAGTCCAGGCCTGGTGCGGTGGCTCACGCCTGTAATCCTAGCACTCTGGGAGGCCGAGGCAGGAGGATTGCTCAAGGTCAGGAGTTTGAAACCAGCCTGAGCAAGAGCGAGACCTCATCTCTACTAAAAATAGAACAAAAGTAAGTGGCCAACTAAAAATATATAGAAAACATTAGCCGAGCATGGTGGCATACGCCTGTAGTCCCAGCTACTCGGGAGGCTGAGGCAGGAGGATCGCTTGAGCCCAGGAGTTTGAGGTTGCCGTGAGCTAGGCTGACGCCACAGCACTCTAGCCCGGGCAACAGAGTGAGACTCTGTCTCTAAATAAATAAATAAATAAAGTATTTAGTCCAGTGCCCAGCACATAGAAAGGCTTGATAAAAGCCAGCAAGCATGTATGACCAGAGCACAAAGTAGGTCTACCCCACCTGAAGTTGCCTTAGTTCATCCCTGTCATATGACCCTGCCGATTTCCTTCATTGTACCACTTGTGATTATCTTCTTTATTTACTTATGAGCTCTCTTCCTACCGGATTGTAGATTATAGACCCCAGAGGAAGGGGGCAGAGTCTCATTTGTGGTTGAATATTCAGGACCTAGCACAGAGCCCGGCATGTATTTATGAGATGGATGGATAAGTGAATGGATAGTGGATACTTTGTCTTGAGAGTATTAAAAGGAGACATGTTTAATCAATATCATCCCTTTTATTCCATCTGCGTAATCAAATAATTACATTGTAATTCCTCTGCGATCCTCCTTGCCACCAACAATTTCTCTTGTCTGCTGTTTCAAGCCTCTGCAGGGGGCATCCAGCCTCCCTGACATGTAAAATACAGACACTCTGGGACCTTCAAAAGCACACAGCTGTGCTCTGGCTGGGGACATGGACTGTGGAATGTCAGCCTGTGCCTGGCAGATGGGAGGGGAACTGCCCCTCCTCCCACCTGCTCTGCTTGCTGTGTGCTGTTGGGGCACGGAAAAGACAAAGGGGATGGATTGAGGGGGATGGGGAACAATTTGGGGTTGATAAAATCTTCATGAATATTGCCCTTCTTCTCAGAGTCAGGTTAGACTGGGACACCGTCTGCTTCCAGCAGCACCACCAGGCAGGACCTCACGGGGTCAACAAAATTCTCCGAAGAGTCTGTGTCTCAGGCGATCCCAGCCTCCTCTGCATTCCCCAGGGACTTAAGAGGTCACAGTGGCTGCTGTGTGTGGGGATTTTCAGGATGTCAGGAAGGGCCCTTGCCCTAACACCAAGAGGCCCTGAACTGTAGTCTTGTTATTTATCTCTGAAACAGCCAGGTTGGCACCCTTGGCCCTCATCCCATCATAGTTCCTGGTCCTCAGCAGCAAAGGTGACCTGAAGGTGGGGTCTTTCATAGCTCCAGAACCCAGGAGGCTCCAGCAGTTGAGCAGGAGCAAGGGCTGGCCAGCCATCCCATCGGATACCCTGAGTTCCCAAGAGAAAAATCCATTCTTCTTCTCAGATGTCCTCCAAGTTTTTCACCGCTGGGCCTGAAGGCTCCCTCTGGCTCCTGTGGTCTCTGGAGGATGCGGGCACTGAGTCATCTTGCTGGGACGGTCCCATGAACTGAGCCTGTGCCAGGCCTTTGCCCGCTGCCCACCTTGCCATCTGCAAGCCTAGCTACCCCGCAGCTGTGCGCAGGTGGGCATGGCCAGGCCACTCTCCAGGGGTCGTCCCAACACTCCATCAGCAAAAATAGGGAAGTGTCCTGGTTTGAGTGGGATGAGAGGGCCGAGACCCTTCTCTCTCCTCCAGGGAGTGAAATGATTTCTGACTTGGGCCGTTTAAAACTGTGAAGGAAGCTGCACCAGCAGTCAGCAGTACGGGTCTCCGGAATCCGCCCACGGGCTGGTTTTCATGTCGACCTCTGTCTCGGTGGCTGAGGACCTTGGGGCTTCATTTATCCCCTCAGACCCAATGTCCCTCAGACACTTCCTCCAGCGGGCCAGGCATCGATGGGCAGAGGAGCGGATCTCCCAACTCCGCAGGGCATAGATGACAGGGTTGACCATGGAGTTGACAAGACACAGCATGGAGCAGAAGGCAAAGACCTTCTTGAACTGGTCGCTGAGCGGGGCGGTCAGGCTGTGGGCCATGAGCGCCAGCACCGGGAGCCAGCACGTGAGCAGCACAGCCAGCACCAGCACCAGGGTCTTGGCCAACCTCACATCCAGCCTCATCCGGGCCATGCCTGGCGCCTGCCGGTGCTGGTGCTCAGCCAGGCTGGCTACGTGCTGATGCGCCTTCCAGAGGACGTGCCCGTAGGTGTAGAAGATGCCAGAGAAGAGGAGGGCAATGAACAGGAGCCAGCCCAGCAGGTAGTCATTGGGGATCAGCGGGAAAAGCTCGGAGCAGGGACTGGGACAGCAAGTCCATCCCATGAGCGGCAGGTAGGAGACCAGTGCCGAGATGGCCCAGGCGATGCCCAGGGTCACCAGTGCCCTCCCACGGGTGAGGAGAGCTTTATATGCAGATGGGTAGCGCAGACAGAGGTAGCGGTCGATGGCAGTCAGCAGGAGGCTGCCCACAGAGGCTGTGAAGGTCATGCTCACGCTGCCAATCTTCAGCAGGAAGATGGCCTTGGAATCCACGCCATTGAAGACATGGAAATTTACAAAGCTGCATGCAAAGACCACACTGGCCAGGAAGTCAGCTCCAGCCAAGCTGCCAATGAACAGGTATGAGGGCTTCTTGCAGAGCCGGCGGGAGGACAGAATCAGATAGAGCACGGCCAGGTTCTCCAGGGCACTTAGCAGGCCTAAAAGGGTGCACAACACCGCAATGGCTATCTTCTGGGAATCACTCAGGACCATGTAATCCTTCATGGGGTTGAAATCCAAGCCATTCTTGGAGCCATTGGCTGTCTCCATCAGCCAGCATCCCTCCATCAGGTGGGTCCTTTGGCTTCCACTGGGCTTGCCAAGAAGGTTTTGCTGCAGTACAATGAGAAGAAAAGAGTCTTTTGAAGTCAGCACATTGATGATCTCACCTGATAGCTGACTCTCGCCACAACCTTTACCTGTGGATGGAGCACATGTTGGAAAGTCAATTTATATATTTTTTGCTTGTTTTTATTTTTTCATATAAAAAGTTTTTAATAGTGATTACATGACTTTATAGTATTTTACCCATGCAATACTTCCAAATTCACAGAAATTGGTATAACAAGGTATACATCAATTTATATTTTATTCCCATGTATTTTACCCTTGTTCCATCCACATGTCTGCTTCAGGGAAGGTAGGTGGGAATGCAACAGGCAGAAATGATCTGTGTGACTTTTGGCCTTTTGTTTTCCAGAAGGCTAATCCTAAAACTTTGCTTTGAAAGCAAGGGAAATCCCCAAAGGTCAAAAAACAAATTGAAAATAAAAATCAGGAAGAAATGGAATCTGGAGTGATAAGGTTGATAGTTTTTTGTTTGTTTGTTTGTTTGCTAGTTTTGGTAAGTAAAGTGCTGAATTTCCTTTTTTTTTTTTTAATCATGAAATGATTTGTTTGTCCTCTTTTTAAAAATTTTAAATTCTATTACATGTATATATTATATAGTGGTCGAGTCTGGGCTTTTGGTGCACCTGTCAAACAAACAGTGTACATTGTACCCCATAGGTAATTACTTTAAAAATTTTTTTTGAGATAGGATCATGCTCTGTCACCCAGGCTAGAGTGCAGTGGCATCATCACAGCTCACTGCAACCTCCAATTCCTGGGCTCAAGCAATCCTCCTGCCTCAGCCTCCCTAGTAGCTAGGACTACAGGTGCATACCAACATACTTGGCTAATTTTTAAATTTTTTGTAGCGATGAGATCTCACTCTGTTGCTGCTAGTCTTGAACTCCTGGCCTTAAACAATTCTCTGTCCTCAGCTTCCCAAAGTGCTGGGATTACAATTGGAGCCATAATGCCCAGCCCCTATAGGTAATTTTTATATCTCACCCCTCCCATCCTCTCCCCTTGTGAGTCTCAAATGTCCATCATACTACTCTGTGTGACCTTGTGTAGCCATAGTTTAGCTCCCACTTATAAGTGAGAACATGTAGCATTTATTTTTCTGTTCCTGAGTTACTTCACTTAGGATAATAGCCTCCAGTTCCATCCAGGTTGCTGCAAAAGACATTATTTTATTCTTTCTTATGGATGAATGGTACTCCACAGTATGTATATATATATATATATATATATACCACATTTTCTTTATCCATAGTACTGAAGTTTTAACAACTATTTGGGGATAGGAGATAAGATTTTGGCTTTGGCCGGGTGTGGTGGCTCATGCCTGTAATCCTAGCACTCTGGGAGGCCAAGACGGGTGGATCATTCAAGGTCAGGAGTTTGAAACCAGCCTGAGCAAGTGCGAGACCCCATCTCTACTAAAAATAGAAAGAAATTAATTGGCCAACTAAAAATATATAGAAAAAATTAGCCAGGCATGGTGGCACATGCCTATAGTCCCAGCTACTTGGGAGGCTGAGGCTGGAGGATCACCTGAGCCCAGGAGTTTGAGGTTGCTGTGAGCTAGGCTGGCGCCACAGCACTCTAGTCTGGGCAACAGAGTGAGACACTGTCTCAAATAAAAAAAAAAAAAGATTTTGGCTTTATATCAAGTGGTGTGAATATAAATATAGAAGATAAATTTTTTGTGCTAGATAAAATATAGGAGTCCATTTAAATTTGAATGTCAGATACTAAATAAGTTTTTAGTATAAGTATGTCCCAAATATTGAAGAAAAATCTCAGGAAACTAAATATGGTATAGTTCATTGTTAGACATTATTAGAAAGGAAATTAAACATTTTTCTAGAAGGATCCACTTTCTAAAGAGGTTGCACAGTATCACCACATATAAAGGCCAGTAAAATTTGAGCTCACAATGCGAAAATTACAAAATATCTAAGTAAACATGAGCAAGAGTTCATAGAAATGTCAGAAAATAGAATTATATTTCCAAGAACTTCATATAATTATTGGGTCTATCTTATAAAAATGTTTAGTCTGATTAAACAATAAAGAATAAAAAAACACGAGAGTACAGAATGAGAGATTGTCTGGGTAGATTTGATAAAGAATCAAGTAGAATTTCTGGAAATAAAAAATAAAGTCATTGAAAAAAGATGCCCTTAAAGGATGGGCTAAAGAGCAGAATAGACCAGTTGAAAAGCATTGATCTTGAAAACAGATCTGTACAGATGTACCAAATATCTATGAAAAGGAAAAAGTAAATTAATTTATAAAATAAAAATAAAAGAAAAAAAAATTAAAAAAAAAAGAAATAAAAAGAAAACAGATCTGAAGAAATTTCTCACAACAAAGGAGAGGAAAAGATTAAAAATATGAAAGAGAGGTTAAGAGACATGACTGAATGAACAAGTTTGTATCCAAGTGGAATATTAGAACTGACAAATAGAGAAAATTAGTGGTGAGCATTGGGGAGGCAACAGTCATAGAGATAATAGTAAAGAATTGTCAAAAATTCATGAGAGGTCAGGCGTGGTGGCTCACACCTGTAATCCTAGCACTTTGGGAGGCTGAGGCGGGCGGATTGCTCAAGGTCAGGAGTTCGAAACCAGCCTGAGCGAGACCCCATCTCTACCAAAAATAGAAATAAATTAATTGACCAACTAAAAATATATATACAAAAAATTAGCCAGGCATGGTGGTGCATGCCTGTAGTCCCAGCTACTCGGGAGGCTGAGGCAGTAGGATCGCTGAGCCCCGGAGATTGAGGTTGCTGTGAGCCAGGCTGACGCCACGGCACTCACTCTAGCCTGGGCAACAAAGTGAGACTCTGTCTCAAAAAAAAAAAAAAATTCATGAGAAACATTACTATTCAGATTTAGAAATCATGGTGAACCCCAAGAAGCATTTAAAAAAACATATTCCACTTTCACATACATCATATATCATACATACCACAATGCCAAAGACACAGAAAAATTTAAGACAATAAGAGTGAAAAGACAAATTAGCAGCAAGAGAATCATAACTAATTTTTTTTTTTTTTGAGACAGAGTCTTCGCTTTGTTGCCCAGGCTAGAGTGAGTGCCATGGCGTCAGCCTAGCTCACAGCAACCTCAAACTCCTGGCTCAAGCAATCCTGCTGCCTCAGCCTCCCGAGTAGCTGGGACTACAGGCATTCGCCACCATGCCCGGCTAATTTTTTGTATATATATTAGTTGGCCAATTAATTTCTTTCTATTTATAGTAGAGACGGGGTCTCGCTAACTCCTGACCTCAAGCAATCCTTCCGCCTTGGCCTCCCAGAGAGCTAGGATTACAGGCGTGAGCCACCGCGCCCGGCCATAACTAATTTTTAAAGCAGATTTTCCAGTAGCAACAGTGGAAGCCAGAAGATAAAGAAAACGTCAACCTAGAGTTTTATACCTACCTAAACTATCACTCAAGAATGAGGTAAAAAAAAAAATACAAAGAAAATTATTCATTACCAGACTTTTACTGAAGGAACATCAAAAGGATGTAGTTTTTTTTAAAGGAAATTCAACCTAGAGGGGAGAAAGAAAGGGAAGAAGAAATAGTGAGCAAGTAAGTTGATGAATATATACAAGTAAATAAAAGCAAATGTCTTTATAAGACAATAATAGTGAGTAATTTAGAGAGTATAAAACAAAGTTGAAATAAAATTGTGAATGATAATAATTCAAGACAAGAGTTGAATAGAGGTAAAACTATATTTAGGAAGTAGGGAAAGACATTGATTAACTTTAGGTTTAAAAAAAAACCCAGGCATCATCTCTTACCTGGTTTACTGCAATAGCTTCCTAACTGGGCTCCCTGCTTTCATCAAGGCCCATTTATAGTCTAATTTCAACATAGCATCCAGGGTGATCCTCTTAAAATACAAGTCAAATCACGTCACTGCTCAGACCTAAACCGTGTGTAGCTCCTCATTTCATTCACTGTAAAAGCCAAAACCTCCCAATGGCCTAAAAGGCCTATGTGTCCTGGTCCCATCACCTCCCAGACCTCCCTTCTACCACGCTTCCCCTGTCACCCAGCCTTAGCCAAGTCGGCTTCTTGATCAGTCTTCCCTCCTGCCTCAGGGCCTGTGCACTGGCTGTTCCCTCTGCCGGAACACCCTTTCTCCAGAGATCTGCTTGGCTTGCTCCCTTACCTTTTGCAAGTCTTTGCTCAGATTTTACTTTTTCAGAGATACCTACCTTGACCTTTCCATCTCACACCATAACTCACCCCAACCTTCAGCCCTTTTGTTTCCCTTTGCACTGACCTATTCTTCGTTTTTTCCATATCCCTTATCACCTCCTAACATTTAATTTATTGTACATAATTTACCTATTTATTATGTTTCATCATTTATTATCTGTTCCAATAGAATATAAGCTCTATGAGGTCCAGGACCTTTGACTGTTTTTTTCATTTTTTATTTTTGAGATAGAGTCTCATGCTGTTGTCCCAGCTAGAGTACAGTGGTATCATCATAGCTCACTGCAACCTCAAACTCCTGGGCTCCAGTGATCCTCCTTCCTCAGCCTCCTAAGTAGGTGGGACTACAGGCATGTGCCACTATGCCTGACTAACTTTTTTTCTATTTTCAGTAAGGACGGGGATCTTGCTCTTGCTCTGGCTAGTCTCTAACTCCTGATCTTGAGTTATCTTCTTTCCAGAGTGCTAGGATTACAGGTGAGAGCCACCATGCCCGGCTGACCTTTGACTGTTTTGTTCACTGATATATCATGAGAGCTTAGAATAGTGTCTTGGTACATAATAGGTATTCAATAAATATTTGTGCAATTGAATTTAATTCAAATTGAATAGTGAGAATTTTTTTAACATTTCTTCTTAGAAATTGATAGATTAAGCAGACAACGTATTACAATTAAGGATACATAATATTTGAACATATGATTAACATGCTTGATCTAATAATAGTCATATATGGAACTTAGCACCCAGTAATTGAGGAATACACATTATTTTGAAGGAAATGTGGACATTTACCAAAATTGATTAAGTCCTAGGTAGAAGGTAAATTTCAAAAAACTTAAAATGATTTGTAATATATGAATCATGTTTTGACCACATGCAATTTATTTAGAAAATATGACTAATGAAGTTCATAGGTATGGAGCTTTAAAATCACATGTATGGGCCGGGCGCAGTGGCTCACGCCTGTAATCCTAGCTCTCTGGAAGGCCGAGGTGGGCAGATTGCTCGAGGTCAGGAGTTCGAAACCAGCCTGAGCAAGAGCGAGACCCCGTCTCTACTATAAACAGAAAGAAATTAATTGCCAATTAATATATACAAAAAATTAGCTGGGCATGGTGGCGAATGCCTGTAGTCCCAGCTACTTGGGAGGCTGAGGCAGGAGGATTGCTGAGCCAGGAGTTTGAGGTAGGCTGACGCCATGGCACTCACTCTTAGCCTGGGCAACAAAGCGAGACTCTGTCTCAAAAAAAAAAAAAAAATAAATAAAAAAATAAATCACATGTATGGCTCAGGCATGTAATCCTAGAACTCTGAGAGGCTGAGGAGGGAAAATCATTTGAGCTCAGGAGTTCGAGACCAGCCTGAGCAAGAGCGAGACCTCGTCTCTACTGAAATAGAAAAATTAGCTGGGCAGAGTGGTGTGCACCTGTAGTCCCAGCTGTTCGGGAGGCTGAGGCAGGAGGATTGCTTGAGCCCAGGAGTTTGAGTTTGCAGTGAGCTATGATGAGGCTACAGCACTCTAGCCCAGGCGACAGAATGAGACTCTGTCTCAAATAAATAAATAAAATAAAATCACATGTCTGAATTATACCTGGGTCAAAAAGTCATAAAGGACATAGAAAATTCTTAGAATTGAATGATTATAAAATTGTGACACATGAAAATGTGTAGAATGCAACTCAGTGGTAGGGAAAGGGAAATTTATAGCCCTAAATGCTCATATTACAAAAGAAAAAAGACCATAAGCTAACATTCAACCCATGAAATTATAAGAAGGGCCACAGCATAAATCCAAAGAAAGCAGAAGCTAGAAATAATACGAACAGAAACTAATGACATGGCAAAGCAACAGAGACTAGAAAGAGCTGACAAAGACCAAAGCTAGTTCTTTGAAAAGATGATAAAACAGATGATCACAGGCAAGGTTGCTTAAGAAAAAGGAGAGAAACTGCAATGCAGAAAAATAGTGGGCATGAAAGAGAAGTGGCCAATAATCCTTTGAAAAGTTGCTTATCCTCAGTAGCAGACAGAGAAATACAAGTTTCCCCTGAGATTGGCAAAAATAAAAAATAAGTCTGACAATCCTGAGTGTTGGAGCAGATGTGGAACAAGAACTCTCACTGAGGTGAGGGTATAATTTGACACAACTACATTGGAGAGCAGTTTTGCAAAATCCAGTGATGTTGAAGATAGTTGAAGATGTACCAGCTTCCCTTGCATGCATTGGTTGCGCTCCTGGGAATATGCTCCAATGCCACTGCACAAGTTGCACAATTGCCCAAGGGGACATGTGCAAGAATGTCTGTTTTGGCATGTTTGGGATTTTTTGCTTTTTTTTTTTTTTTTTTTTTTTTTTTAGAGATAGAATCTTGCTATGTTGCCCAGTAGGCTGGTTTTGAACTCCTGACCTCAAGCAATTCTCCTTTCTCAGCTACCTAAGTAGCTGGAGCTTCAGGCACATGCCACTGTGTGGGCTTCAGCATTTTTGAAATAGCAAAGAAAAACAAAAGGAAATAATCTAAATGTCCGTCAACTGGAAAATGGATAAATACGTTGTAGTCTATCCATACAAAGGAATACTGTGAAGCAGGGAGCATGAACTGGAACGATATGTACCAACAACGATAAATCTTAAAAACAAAACATTGAGCAAAAGGCTTCATACCTTAGGAGAGTTTAGAAGACTTATGAGTAGATGTAATGGAAGAGAACTTGCAGGCTGCTGTAGAACATCTTAGAGAAGAAGGAGGGACAGCAGCCTTTCCCCAGACTAGACCGGAAGGCAGTGCCTTGCCCGAGGCCAGGCGGAACATATGTGCCTCTCTATGGACATCTTACATATTCTTTAAACATTAAAACACTAAAGTTGTTGGCCTATAAAGAGGCATAAAAGATTTCAGGAGTTGCGCAGGGCTTTGCCTTGCAGGAATATGTGAATGTGTTAGTGCACAGATCAAAAGCTGCCTCTCCTCACTGATCGGGAGCATTGGCGCTCTGGCGATGCCCATCTCTCAGACCTGAAGGCTTGTGCCTGATGCCTCTGTAAGACAAGGCTCAGTATGTGGTCACAGGTTGAGAATTGATGAAAGAATGCGGACCCTACCCCACTCCGCAGTCACTTGCAGCTAGAGACAATTGGCCTAAGGGGCAGTTCTTGCTTCACTCCTGATCACTTGTCTTGATTGACAAGAAACTAGATAAAGGAATATAGAGGCTCTATATTTCTGTTTAGCCTTTCTGCTAAGTGATAAGATTTTTTCTTTTTTCAATTTCTTTTATTTCTTTTACAGAATGAGAAAATTGAGGTGCTAAATGATAATTTTATCTTAGGACTTAGAAATTAATCTTAGAAAAGTTTTGTAATCATATGCCCACAGAGATAGAGTTAATTAAGGGGTCTCTAGAAGATTTGGGGGAGACTTAAAACCTAAACAAACTGTCTGTTATTATGTAAATCTGTTGTCACTGGCAACTAATCGATGTAGCAATAAATACTGATGTGGGACTTCGCTTGTGGCCTCACAGCTCACAGGAATGCTGGAGGACCTCCTCACTCCCCCATCTTTTAAACTATGCTTTTGTCTCTGTGTCTCTTTATTATTTCTCTATTCTCTATTTCTATTATTTCCATATCCCTTGCAACGAACCAGCCAAAGGACCCGATTTTGCTGGGAGCGTAGCTAACTCCCAGCATAAAGTAATTACTATTGAAAAGTCAAAAGGTAGGTATATTAAAACTCACACTATCATTTTATTTATTTATTTATTTTTTGAGACAGAGTCTCACTCTGTTGCCCAGGCTAGAGTGAATGCCGTGGTGTCAGCCTCACTCACAGCCTCGCTCAAGCGATCCTCCTGCCTCAGCCTCCTGAGTAGATGGGACTACAGGCATATGCCACTATGCCCAGCTAATTTTTTCTATATATTCTTAGTTGGCCAATTAATTTATTTGTATTTTTAGTAGAGACAGGGTCTTGCTCTTGCTCAGGCTGGTTTCGAACTCCTGACCTCGAGCAATCTGCCTGCCTTGGCCTCAAAGAGTGCTGGGATTACAGGCGTGAGCCATCTCGCCCGGCCCACACTATCATTTTATAAAGTTTAAATATTTTATTTATACTCGAAACAGAAATTATTATAATTTTTTGGCACTTGTTTAAATTTTGTGCCCACAGTGAGTTCCTCACTCTCCTTACTCCTGACCCTGCTAGAGGTTCCTAGGGATTGGGAGTTGAGACAAAGAGAGGTCTGTGGCTTCCTGAGCAAAGTGGCTTCTTGGATCTTTGCAGCATTTTCAAATCTCCCTTATGTGTGCTCATTT